AAAGCCACCAGACTTTCAGACTCTGAGGGGACAGGATCGGCAGCTCCACTTCAATATCATCGCCCTATAAGGAACCATAAAGAGCTGTGGTGGCACAGTGAGTTAAACATGGATTTGGCAATGTAAACCCACCAGCTGCTCCACAGAAGGAAGATGGGGCCATCAGCTTCTGTATAGATTACATCCTTGGAAATGCTCTAAGGCTCTTCTACTCTGTCCTACGCATTGGAACCAATTCAATGGTAGTGAGTTTGGTTTTTCAATAGGGAGAACTGTATGCTTATACAATGCATTATGGCCAAGGCCCAGGCGAGGGGCACAAGGTTCAGCTGAAGTAAAGAACCTTATCCTTGGAACCTTGGTATAAGTTGGTTTCCTTTTTTTCTTTTTCAGTCCAAGGTTTACACCCGCACACCAACTTTGTATTTGGACTTCAAACTGGACCAGGGAGCAAAGCATTCCCAGCCCATCCCCAAAGGTAGGATGGGCTCTGGGGCGGGGGAGTTCATGATCATAGCAGGACAAAACAAGGGACGTGCTTTCTTTAGGAAGTGGTGATTTCTGAACATCAGTCCCAAGTTCTATTAATATCTCGGGGGATATGTGTTAAAATGAGCAAATCCTGCTGGGACCTTTCACTTTCAAATCGAGAAGAACTCAAAGGATGATAGGACTGGAATTTCTGGGCCGTACCCTTCATTTGACAGTTGTGGAAACTAAGGGCCTGGGTGCTGCAAACATTTGGGATGATACAAAGGTTAGTGGGACATTCAGGTTCATTCAGAGGTGCCTCAAGAAAGATCTGGCCCATAGCTGACCTTTCAGTGGGTTTTCATTTTATTCCAAAATACATTGTTAGGGGGCAGCAGAGAGGTGAAGATGGGTAGGGTGGGTGTAGAGTATGGGGACTGGTTAATCCATAGGGTTGCAAAATTTGATGGGTGGAGGGAGGTGTGTTTAAAGGAAAAGAGAAAGATTCAGTGTGAAAAACAAAGTATATGAACTTTGTAAGTAAACCAGTATAAAATATTTTTTAAAAAAATCAAACAAATACAAAACAAAAAAAGCAGCCCTACTTGCCGTCAGGAGTGTGTGAGAGTACTCATTTCTCCTCCTTCCCACCAACAGTTAAGTGTATGGTTCATGTTCCCACCACCCTGTGCTAACTAACTGAAAGGTGGGTGATTTGAGTCTATCTGGAGGTGCCTTGGAAGAAAGGCCTGGCAATCTGCTTTCTAAAGAGCACGGCTGCTGAAAATCCTCTGTACCATAGTTCTCTGATGCACATGGGGTCTTGATGAGTTAGAATCGACTCCATGAGACAGCTGCTATATTGCCTTGGTGGAGTGTGTGTGTGTGTGTGTGTGTGTGTGTGTGTGTGTGTGTATGCCACTTGGAAAGCTGTACTTCTGGTTTATTTTGTCATTCTGAATTTTAAAGCTGAGGTTTCTTTTTAAAAACATTTCAGGGAAGGTGCAAAAGAAAGTTGCTTAAAAATGCAGTTAGCATTCAGTCACCTGTGGACCTACTTTAAACAAGCCTTTTAGAAACACAGCCATGAACATGTCTTCTCCAAGTCACAGCTCTAGTCACGATGTTCTCTCTTCTCTCTCTCTCCACCCCCTCCCCACCTTCCCCTCTCTCCCCCCCCCTCTCTCTCTTACACACACACACACACACACATTTTATAGTTGCACTGCTTTATCTGAAACTAGGTTTGAGAAGTCTCTGTCCAGACAAACAATTCAAGCTTGTACTGAATTCTTTACAGAATTGATAGTTCTGACTGTCTGGAAGCAGACACATTAAGTGGTAAAATTAGGCTATATCTATATCTATATCTATATCTATATCTATATCTATCTATCTATCTATCTATCTATCTATATATATATATATATATATATTTATAGGACTCCTTCTGTCAGGATCATCCTTTGTCATATCCCCAACCCCAACCAATCCAGGTTCAATGCCACTGGAAACTCCAAGAACTGTCTGAATTCATCTTCTCTGGGAGCTCTGTTGCAGCAAATAGCCCCTGAAATGTGTGAACCATAGGCGGAGTCCTGGATGTGTTTTGTTTATAACATTTTGATTGCCTCGTTACTCATGGTAAAGGGATTTGACATGGACGTCTGGGTTATGTTTGGCTTTGGCATTTGCTTGGCAGGCTAGCTAATTTAATGTGAACTTGGTTATATCAGCACCAACTTGACAGGATAGAAATAGAAGCTCGGACTGATGCCAACCCATCTCTGATGACAGAAGAGTGGTCCCACCTAGTTAAGGGAGACTAGATACATTTCTTATGCATCAGACTAGATTTTATCTGAATTCCTTCCTATAAATAGAGTTGTGATCGATCTTTGCCATTTCTTCATTTGCTTCAGGCTAAGCCCGTTTCTGGTGTGCTGTGCTAATCTTGCAGAAAACAGATGTTTCATGCAATGGTGTTTTTGGAAGGGGGTGATACTGGGAATGGAACTGGACTGTGCATCACTTACAAAGAATCCAATTTGTCAAGCCCCTGACAGACCCAGATTCCTTTCACATCAGCCACACATTTTTCGTGTTAGCTCTTGGCTAAAATAAGAATAAGTAGTTGTATTTCTTTGTTGGGTTTTGTTTTGCAATGGCTTCTCCCATCTCCTGCAGTACAGTTTTCTTTTCTTTGCTGTCAACGGAGGCATGTATAGCACTGTTTGCTGTCTTTCACTGTGAAGGACGTAAACCTGCACTTTTAGGAAGTAATCAGTCATTTCCTACAAACTTGTGGTTCCTATGACCCCTTTGTGTTTCTAAGTGACTGTATAAAAGTTGACCATCAGTGGCCATTCTAATTTTGCCCATTTTCTTTCATAAGACCTCTGATGGAGTTGGTATTGTTAGGTGACATCAGTTGATCTGACTCGCAGTGTGGCCTTCTGTGCTCGAGCCCTATTTACAGCTTGACCTTCTCATTCTGAATAGAGCCACAACAGCAGATACAGGTCTCTAAAGCTTTACTCCAACCCCATCATATTGGTAAAGACTCTAGCTTGAGGAGACAGGTCTTCCCCAGTCGTTTTCTACTTGCTTTCTAACCCATGGGGCCTATCTTCCAGCACCCCAGGCAGTCCCAAAATGACAAATACCTGATTAACATAAGATTCTTCACAGGACGCCAACCCTCAAAGTGTATTGTATTAAAAATTCAAGGGACATAAACTGGTTCTTAGAGACAAAAGTCACAGTAATTTGATTCACAGTGCGAATCAAAACATTGTCATTACTATAACTGTGTTATTACCTTAAAGATGTTTTCGTGTATCTGGAAGTGTTTCCTCTATATTTTGCATCCACAGAAACGTACACTCTATGTATACAGTAAGATAACCATTTGACTGACTAACTGGCATTAAGTATGTACTGTATCTGAAGTGTTCTGATTTACCTGCAAATTCAACTTTAAAACAGACTAAGGAACAGAACTGGCTTGCCTGTCTACCTGATAGGGTTTTACTGCCATTGAGAAAGTTTTCACCGGCCAGCGTTTTGGTTCTTTCTTTTAATTTATTATTCATTTCAATGAAGATTTACAGAGACTTTGGATTTCCATTCATTCATTGTTGCACTTTTCTCCCCTCCCAACCTTCCCCCCTAGTATACTACACTCTTGGAAAAGTAAAAGAAAAATTCTTTCATTGTTTTACAATCCCTCCCCCCAGGTCCACTCCACTATACAGCCTTTGCTCTGGACTTCTGTCATGACAAAAATACGTAACAATCTTCCCTCTTAAACAGTTTTCTCCCTCATCTGTTTCAATGCAGTATACATTATTGAGACCATCCTTCTCAGTCTCCTCCCAACTCCGAGGTCAATCCTGCTTTACAACAGTGACACCATACATTATTTGTCCTTTTGTGACTGAGATACTTCACTCAGCATAATGTCCTCCAGGGTCACCCATTTTGAATAATATTGTATGAGTTCCTTGTCTTTCAATGCAGCATAGTATTCCATCGTGTAAACATACCAAAGTTTCACTATCCATTCCTTTGTTGATGGGCACCTGGGTTGTTTCCAACTCCTTGCTATTGTGAACAAAGCCACGATAAACATGGGTGTTCATATATCTGCTAGGGTGGCAGTTATGGTTTCTTTGGGGTTTATTCCCAGTAGTGGAATTGCTGGGTCGAATGGTATCTTTATTTGCAACTTTTTGAGAAACACCATACCACCTTCCACAGTGGTTGCACCATTTTACACTCCCACCAACAGTGAATAAGGGTTCCAGTTTCTCTACAACCTCGCCAGCATTTGTTGCTTGCTGTTCTGTTAAATTTTGCTAGTCTTACTGGGGTGAGATGATATATCATAGTTATTTTGATTTGCATCTCTCTTAGAGCTAGGGGTTTTGAACATTTCTTCATGTGCTTGTTAGCCATCTGAATGTCTTCTTCGGTGAGGTGTCTGTTCATATCCTGTGCCATTTTTTCAACTGGATTATTTACCTTTGTCTTGTTGAGGTCCTCAAGTATTTTATGAATTCTGGTTATAAGTCCCTTATCTGATATGTCATTACCAAATATTTTTCCCAGTCTGTGGCTTCCCTTTTTACCCTGGTGGAGAAGTTTTTGGATGTGCATAGGGATCTGATTCTTAGAAGATCCCATTCATCTACTTTATCTTCTCCTGGTTGTAGGTTTTTAAGGATACGTGGAAGACTGTTTATGTTGTGGATTAGGACTTCTAGCGTTCTTCCAAGCTTTTCTTTAATGAAGATTATAGTCCTAGGTCCATGATTCACCTTGAGTTGGTTTTTGTATATGGAGTGAGGTGTGGATCTTTCTTGAGTCTTTTGCAGATACTTTTCCAATTTTTTCAACACCATTTGTTAAAAAGGCTGTCATTTCCCCACTTAACTGATTTCATCTCCTTGTCAAAAATCAGTTGACCATAGATAGATGGGCTGATCTTGGGGCTCTCAATTCTATTCCATTGATCTATGTGTCTCTCATTGTACCTGTACCATACCGTCTTAACCACCACGGCAGTGTAGTAGGATTTGAAATCAGGGAGTGAGATACCTCCTACCTTTCTTCTATTTTTAAGGAGTGCTTTGCTTATTCGGGGCTTCTTTCCATTCCAAACACAACTGGAGACTCCTTTTCCATCTCGTTGAAGAATGGGATTGGTATTTGTATTGATATTGCATTGAACATGTAAATTGCCTTTGGTTGTATTGCCATTTTAACAATACTGAGTCTTCCTATCCATAAGCAAGGGATCTTCTTCCACTTCTCCAGGTCTCTTTTTGTTTCTTGTAGTAATGTTTTGTAATTTTCTTTGAATTGATCCTTTGTGCTTCTGGTTAGATTTACTCCCAAGTATTTAATCCTGTGATTCGCTATTGTGAAAGGTATTGTTTTTCTTAGTTCCTGCTCTGTATTCTCTTTGTCACTGTAAAGAAATCCAACTGATGTTTGTATGTT